CTGTTGGTCGCGTATTGGGTACTTTGTACTAGGAAATAGCTATCTTTTGAGAGCAACAACTCAAAAGGACGATACGTGACCAGCATCGGATATTTTCTATTATGATACTATGTTATAATTCATGAAAGCATATACACAGATATTATATGGAGAGTGAACACAACAATTACTCGAGACTTTACGTCCACAGATCCAAAGCCCCAATAGGCTATATCTTTATTAATTGGTTTAGGAGGTCGAGGCGTCCATAAATCCAAAGCCCCAACATGGAATATCTTCATTATTTTTGGATAGATGTTTATAAAAGCCCCAATAGGCTACATCTTCACTATTTTCATATGAATATTTACATATAAATACCCTTATATTTAGAGTTTCAGATTGATATTTACATATAAATGCCTCTATATTTAGAGTTTTAGATGGATATTTACATATAAATACCTCTATATTTAGAGGACAATCACACAATTACATGAGATAAATATGGTACGATTCTTAATATAAAGTTTCAGATGGATATTTATATATAAATACCTCTATATTTAAAGGACAATCATACAATTACAGGTGATAAATATGATACGATTCTTGCAAATAAAGGTAAATAGTATGAGGTCTTATCACCAAACTCAAAACTTAAGTTAGTTTGACTTGGTCTCTTCTAATCTTCTAAATACCTAAGCGATATATACCCATACATCCATAATAATGTATACCACTAGAAACACAAGATATTCATATCCTAACAATACAATCATTAAAGGTGAAATTTAATAGCTTGAGTGTGTCACAAAGTTCACGAAAATTTATTTTGAACTTTGAGCTTGGTCAATTGAATAAATGTAGACACTCAATTTCACAACCAACGGTCAAGATTAATTCTAACCATCTTGTATAAAAAATAAATGGTCACATTATTTTTTTTTCATGTTATATATTATAGACTTTTCCTCATGTTGTTATATAACTCAAGTACTAAAACAACATAGGCAAGTACCAAGATTGAGTTGAGAGAAAACCATGCTCCATATAGCTATCCCACTTTTCAACTACAATCTTGTAATTGATTAATAATATATCCATTATACCCTAACTTCCTCGCTATCTCTTCCTTGGTCATCTCTATTGCCATATAAATATGACCTATGGTCAGTTTCCCCTTCTCACAATTCACCATTGCATTCACTAAAGGTGTAACACATTCACTAAAGTGAGTAGGTCATCTCATTCCAAAATTAAGGTTGCAAAAACAATATACCTACATGCTGTTGGTCCATTGTTTAGAGACAAAAGAATTGTATAAAAAGAGTGCATCTTGGAACAAGTTATTTGGATCGTATATTTTCAAGACTTATCTCGATTTGCACCTTTTTAAAATTTCAAATTTTATAATTAGGATTAAACCTAGACTTCCAATCCATGATAGCGTTACCCACATATAACTCATCTCCCTGCAACTAATGACCCAGATGGCCTCCCATGTTAATTTGAAAAGCACTTAATTTGTAAGAATAATAAAATAAAAAGAGCACTTAGTTAGAAAACGACTTAATTTTGTCGTAATTTGAAGAAGAATTTTCCTTCTCGTTACAAATAAGTATATTTTGAGAACTACTTTTACGCAAGCCGAAATTGACTAGAAAACATAAATTTAAATGTGTCTTGCCATTTGAATAAAAAATTAATCATCAAAATTTCAATGGGAATAATTTTTCATTTTATGAGTAAAATTTATAATTTCTGTGTGATTTTGAATTTTTTACTTCATATATAAAACTTAGTCAATTGGAAATAACAAAATCTTTGAATTTCTAAACTACATAATAATTATAAACTTTGTCAAATTATAATTTTGGTTATCACTATATCTTGGATTCTATTATTAAAGAACAAACATTTTCTAATCATTAACGATTAATTCAAGTTAAAATTTGAACATTATATCAGTGTAACTTCTTTTGGAACCCACTTTCATAATTAAAGCTTTCGATACCGAGAACATAGGTGGCAGACACTAAGTTGCACCGAATTTGAACAATTAAAGTGCTAGATAAAATAATTGCAATGCTTTTAAGATAATTGTTAATCCAAATCAGAATCACCCCATCTAAATCTATTTTTAAAGGAATCACCCCATCTAAATCTATTTGTAAGGGACACTAGTTCAATAACCTCTATGTATCGGAAATCGGCTAGTTCTATGAGAGAATATGCCGGTTATGTCAGGGAACCCGCCAATCCCCCCCATATTTTTTTTATTATTTTTCAATTTTTTCTAAAAATTTTTTATTGGTAGATTCTCTCAGTTGAATCATACACCCGATTGGTGACTCATCGACTTGAACAACCGATTTCCCGGATGGGCGTTTGACCTTGCTGATCTAGGTTTTTAAGCAGTGGATAATTGAAAACGTGGAATATATGCCCTTTATAATAAAAAAATAGTAATATTTTAAATTTAAATCAGTTTATTAATTATTATTTGATCTTGATTAAATAATTTCAATCACCTTTATATATTTATTAGAATTTAAAGAATTTGAGTTTTAAATTGTAATCTACATTTTCTGAAATAAATATTAAAAAATAACATGTGATCTATATAATGTCTTTATTATGAATAAAGTACTTAATGCAATGCATGCCATTTGAGAATTGCTTGGTAGATTGGAATCATAGTTAGCAAGTGGCCGCTAAAAACATGATTTTTTCTTTAAAAATGCCATATTATTGTGATATGTTTTAACCTTCATTAATTTGAAAATCTTGGGGAAAAGAACGCATCATTATGTTTAAAAATGTTGGGAACACCTTTTTATGACTTTTTGACAAAAAAAAAAAGGTTAAAAAAAAAACTTCATTTTTGCATCCAAATCCCTTTTTTTTTTTTCTTTCAAAGTTCTACATCTTTATGCTTCTATTCTGCATAAAAATATTTTCAGTTAGTCTTCAGTAAATAAACACATAGTTGCCATGTTTCATGTACACATGGTTTACATGTATTGGGTTTTTGTGGTCTTTAAAGGCTTTATCAGCGATTTTAAGGAGACATTTGATATAGTGGATCATGAACTCAGTGGGAGTGTAGTCCCTCATAGACCATATCATGTAAACGAGATTTGCAAATACAGTACTGTGCTTGACAGTCTAGGCCAGTCGGTTGAGACAAACCCAAGTTGCCTGGGCATAGAAAATAAACCGAGAAGGGTTCTACTAGGTTATCCTTTGATGAGGTCAGAGTATGCCCTGATAAGTGAGCCGAGGGACTGTGTGAATCTTGTGTGTGATGGTGACCTATAGATACGAGGGCCAAAGCTTCATCCATATACCATCACACAGCATGCATATCGATAGACTATTTGGAAACGCATGAAAGCCACATTTTAAGGGTAAAGCGTATGCATGTACGAGAGATACCCCCTATGTGTCATAGATCTGTGATCGCATCAGGTCTAAGTGACCTTGACTCGTCTTTAGAGGAGAACCTGAAATCCACAGACTAAGATTACGATCCCTTGGCTCATCGGCTAGACTTTGGTGACCTACTAATAAACCTTTGTTTGGGCTGTGGGTCATGGACAACGTTGGGTCGGCATGATAAAGTAAGCGTGGTCTGTAGTCCACAGTTGAAAGTGGAGTGCTCCCTTATTGATTTAATTCTTTAACCTAACTTCGTACATTCTACTAGCTATTTTATATTGTTTTTTTTTTTAAAGGACCTAACTTCGTGTATTGGTTTAAGTTGCTTAAGAGATTTCGATATGGCAAAGTACTTTGTTTGAGTTTACCTTCAACTATATGTGACATCACCAGGCATTGTAGCCTTGTGCAAGAACTTAAAACACACATGGATATAAAAACTAAAAGGAAGCAATAATTCCATGTTCATCTACTAAAACCTAAAATGAAAAAAAAAACAACATCATACTCTCTACAATTGCTGTTTGGATAGCCCAAACAATTATCTTATCAATGGACGATGATCGTGACCTGTTGCACCACTCTTAAAGCCCCTCAAGGAACAAAGGCTGATCCGCATATGTAAAAAATATAAATGGTGGATGGTCGTCAGAGCTCTACATTTTATTATTGGTCCTTGATAAAGGAGTATATGAGTCATTCTAGAATACAAAAACATTAATGATGAAATTAGAATTTACTATCTAAAAAGTTTTCACAACAAAATACCTTCATATGTCCAAAATTGACTTTTAACCATAAATACTTCATTAATGTTAGGCAGGGTACTTTTGCGTTTTTAAATTCCTTCTAAAACTAAATTTTAGATTTAAAAATATTTTTTTGACTTTGTGAGTAATGGCAAGAATTTTAAAAGTAATTCCATGTTACAAATGTGAGCAATGATCCAATGCAAACGGTTGTATCATAGTATACTGCAACGACACTTTTAGAAAACCATGTTTGTGGTATTTGTATGACCTCAAATTTTGCACATACATCTCTTCTTCTCATTAATCAATCACCCAAAAAAAAAAAGTTCAATTTGAACTTTAGATATGGTCAAAATGAGTTCCTTTCAAAAACGAATCTAGACCATTCATTTTGTGAATTTCAAGATCTTAGCCTTTATAAACTCAAAATTATTATTATTTTTTTTAATATTGTTCATCTAATGATAATAAAGCCATTCAAAAAAATTGGAAATGAAAAACTCCTTCTAAGACCTAGTTCTAAGCATCTCATCAAAATGAACGGCCTATGTTAATTGGGTTAAAAAAATTCTTTCTAGGTTGTGTTTTGAATTTTTTCTTTTTTTGTGATTGGTCATTAGAATGAAAAGAGTGTATATTTCAAAATTTAGATAAAAAATGGCTATAAGATGGTTTTTAAGGTTATTGCATCATATTACTATACAACGGTTGCATGAAATCATAGCCCTACAAATATACATTTCTCAAAATTTCAAATGAATTATTGTGAATATAATTTTAACATTCATAAGGGCATTTAATTGTCCGAAATTTTGGAGTGAGGAATTCTAAATCCAAGAATACACCCACTCCGAAATAGATGGGCTTGTTTTTATAATATCACAACAATAGTATTAAGTCCAAGTTCCAAACAGGTTCGACATCTTGAGGGTTCAACAAGTGAGACCATAGATGCAACATCTTACACTATTTCTCTTAGGAATAAGCCCCCACAACACATGTAAACTACTAGCAAACAGGCATAGATAACCATTATGGTCCATAGTCACACTTAGATGGTGTCGCACCCCAGGGGCCACGGCGGTGGCGGGTCGAGCCGTCGGCCTGCCTACTATCGCCTCCGCCCATCAGTCAGAGCCCCACCATTGGCCTTACCGACCATCCCGCCCATTATATATTTTTCTAAGTCAACATCTTGGGGCGGGTTGTTCTGGCCTGTGACAGTGCTAGAGCGAGGTTTGTTTTCTTTGGGATCTGTCTTTTTGGTTCTATCTTTGTCCATTGTTCCTGTCATACATGTTTGAAGAGTATGCTCGTAAGCTTTCTAGAATGCAGAAAAAGCAGCAGAAGAGCTTATTAATGGGTCCGAGCCAGCAGGCAGAATTGTGGCCCGGCCCCCAAATTCGGGCTTCGTTCGAATAGCATGTAAAGGCCCACTAACGGGACCTAAATATTTCAATTCAAGCACTGAAAAACTTTTACATCGTTCATCTTGGCTTGAACATTATGGTTGTGAAAAAAAAAAAAAAGATTTCAAACTCTAAAAATAAGTGTTCATAGATCCGCAAGATCTGTACCAATATTTGAGTTTTAAATTATCTTCTTGGTGTTGATTTTATAGCCATTATGGAGACATCTATTCCCAATCGTGCTTTCCGATCGTGGATTTGAGGTGAGCCTTTATTTTGTTTTCATCAGTGGTTTAAAAAACAGATCGGTGACCCAGATTGGGCATCCCAAAACCGCATCCAAATCGGTGAATTGGCGATCCGGATCGAAAATCGGCTCAATCAGTCGGATTAAGCTTTAAAAAAATCTATTTTTTTTAAAAAATTTATTATAAATGTTGTTTTTTAATAAACCGATAAGAAATCAGGATACTACAATATTAATTTTCATTTTTTTCATCAATATGTGAATATTTAGTTTTTTTTCTTCGTATGAACTTATTTTAACAAAAATATTTGTTGTATTTTTGAAAAAAATAAGAAATGACTTTTTTTTTACCAAAATACTTGTTGTATTTTTTTTTATCGGGACTTTTTATTTTTTTTACAATAACTTTTTACTGTTTATGTTTTTAAAAAAAAACCTTTTATTTTTTTTGGCAAGAAAAAGAATTGATAAGAACCTTTCATTTTTTTTAAACGAAACTTTTTATTTTGTAGATAAGAAAAAAAAAATTGACAAAAAGAGAAATCGATAAAGACCTTTTATTTTTATTTTTTAGAAAAAGCCTTTAATTTTTTTTATAAGAAAAAAATTTGACAAAAAATTTCATTTTTTTTATACCAAACTTTTTATTTTATTGATAAGAAAAAAATTTGACAAAAAGAAAAATTGATAAAAACCTTTTATTTTTTTGGATAAGAAAATAATTTGACAAAAAAAAAAGAAAACAAAACCAACTCAAGAATCAAACCCGCGTCCATCTCACATTCAGGGACACACATTAACCAATAGGGCACATGCAACTTAGTATATATAAAACAATTAACAAAATATATAATATATGAACATTTTAAGGTAGTACCTATTCACATAGTACCACATTGAAGAGAGAGAAGCAAATTTATATACATAAATAGTTCTTTATACTCAATCTTTGTAGTGCGTGTGAAGCAATGAAATTACATGAAGCATGTGGATAGGGCACCGGTTCCTTTCAAAAACCGCACAATTTTCGGCTTTATAAAAGAACATTTCGATTTTACAAAAGAACTCATACGGGATGACCGATTCGAATCGGCCGATTCGGTGCCGACTTGGTAATTTTTAAAACATTGGTTTTCATAAAGCTTAAGCCTTATAGAAACTTGATCTTTATCCATTAAATAAAGATATGGGGACTTATGGCCTCATAGAGGATATGTCTCTTGATAGAACAAAATGCCGGATCAAGATTCATGTAGTCCATGGCCTTATAGAAATTTCATCTTTATCTATTAAATAAAGATATGGGGACTTATGGCCTCAGAGAGGATATGTCCCTTGATAGAACAAAATGCCGGATCAGGATTCATGTAATCCACCCAAATTAGTTATAAATTATGAAGGTCTAAGTCCAAACCAACCAAAATTTCTACGAGCGAGGCTCAGGCAAAACCTTAAACTAAATTTTTGAGCATAGGTTGGGCTGCAGTCAGGCTAGAGCTGGCCCAGAACAAACAACCAAGTCATAATAAACATGGCTGTTTTACTATAGAGAAAGTGCAAGACTTTCATTATGTCTTCCAGACTTATAATAGTTCAATTTCTTTAAAAATAGAAGAAATTGGGATTTCAAGGGGGCCCCTAAGGCACCAACTCACAATTATTGTGTTAAATAGGTACAGTGAAAATGTGACTCTCTAGTTTCTATTTTTTTCAGACTCGGTCTTTTTTTCATTTTAAAACTTTCATTTACAAAATTTAAGTCCTAATATACTCCTAACTTGACTTTGGCCATAGGGAGTAAATAGACAGTATGCTCCTATAGGAGTAGAAAATCGTTTTTGCCCATTAAAAATCTTCTATTTATGCTCCTATATGAGTAGAAAATCGTTTTGCCTATTGAAAATCAATGGCATGGCATGAAAGCTTAAACAATGCACAAAGTCACGAGCATCTCCATTCATTTAAATCAGAAGGGAAAAAACAGACAACCACAATTCTATTTAGTTTTTAGTTCTTTTATACATGGATTTCAATAAAATTTTGTTCATGTGAATCACATTTAGGGGCACCTAAAAACAATAAAAAATAAGTAATTAGAAAAAAAAAAAAATGGACCAAAATAATCGGAATGTTAAAGAGTATTTTGATCAATTTTTATAATTATTTATTTTATAAGAAGAAACATAACAAGAAAATAAGCAGATTCTCTAAAGAAAAAGTGTAGAATGTGTCAGGAGACACTTCTACATGTGCATCCCCTGATTCAGCTGGCATTCGTCTTAAAGATGAATGTTAAAAGTTGGTAGTCCTACCAAAATCTAGAAATCAATAGCCTAAAGGAATGATTCAAAAAATTATTGTGATTTATTTTTAAATTATATTATTTTTCAAAATTTATGTTTACCTTCATGTAGATTATCAACCCCTAAATTATTTGGATCCAAAACCCATATCTAATATGGAATTTGGAGGGAGGAGTCACATGAATAAATGAGTCGGCTCACTCATAGAAACGTAGTCCTTTCTAGGAAAAAGAAAATTGAAATAGCTTTTTATTTACTATCCTGATACTATTATGTGCGCAGTGTCTGTGAAATAGGAAGTTTTTTCAAAACTGAAATGGTATCGCGCAAATGGCAGATTTCATTTCCTATAATATGTTGGTTGTAGATAATGTTGTGAAACTCAGTGAATTGTACTCAGACTTGACCAACATGGGCTTGGCAGTCTGCCAAGTCTACAACCGAACACATGGGAACCTTTTTCTCGTTTCGACTCCGCCAAATCTTTGACAGACTCGGAGGAGTTTGCCAAACCTAACTCGCGCTTGAGACCCTAGTGAGTTCTGTCCTGAATCCTTGATTTATAACATTGGTTACATGAGAACATTTAATTCGCTCCTACTGCCTACGAAAGGAAAAGAAAGAGAAAAAGAGCCAAAAAAAAAAAAAAAACCCGGACAAACGGCAGAGAAGAAATGCAGAGACCCTTTGGAAGAGAATGGAACAGTTGGAGAGAATTTAAATACCTTATAACAAGTTGGACTGAAACTTCCTTTTGATGATGATGAAATCAAATATTTGGAGATGTGAAATTGTGAGATGGTACAGCAACATATGGGGAGGATTTATATATGGTTAAAGGACTTAGTGGAGTGACCTTTTCATGACATAAAGCCAAGAATCTGGTTCTCTTGAATTACACGCATTGTGTTTTGATCAAGCCACATCTTTTCCTAAAGCAGGTCATATACAAATTAAAAGCAACCATAGTTAAGTACCAAAATAAGAATATCAGTCTCAAAAGTAACCGTAGTAATGTGAACCAAAGAAAGATGGTTGTATGACATTAGATAAGGATAAAGGGAATATTTCGTTGCAAGGACGGACTGCTACAGTGTCTGATTAAGGGCGGATAATGGCAGATTGTCCATGTGAATTTTGTTGGGCATCTCATCCCACGAGGGGCACCAATGGAAATTATTGCGATAGAACGGCAATTTTGAAAAATAAAAAAGGGACGTCTTGTTTATCGCATGAAAATGGGAAGTTTTGTGACGTGGGTAGAGATATCATCTTATCTTTTAGTTGAAAAAATATAGTGGTCACACCTTTTAAAAGGTTATGGGATTCATTTCTTTGGATAGACTCTTCTTGATGTTATAGGGCACTTTTACTGAGCTATTTGGGTCGACTATTCTTGGTGTATTAGAGATACAAGAAGTGTTTTTTTACAGAGAAAAAGAACAAGAAGACTTCTTTTGTAGAAAAGAAGATAAAAACCTTCTTTGCAGAGAAAAAAAACAGAGAAAGGGAGTTATCTTTCTATTGAGAGAATAAGAAGAGAGAGAAAGTTATCATTCTCTTAGAGAGAATGAGAAGAAATAGAAACTTATCTTTCTCTAAGAGAATAACGAGAGAGAGAGAGTTACCTTTCTTCAATAAGCCTTCTTTAGCAGATAAAAAGAAGAAGAGGGATAAAGTTATCATTCTCTGATAGAGACGAATAAGAGAGAGAAAGTTATCTTTCTTTGAAAAAGAAAAAAAGAGAGAAAGTTATTTATCTCTTTGAGAAAAAAATAAGAGCGAGAAAATTATCTTTCTCTTTGAGTCTCTTTGAGAGAGTAAAAAGAAAAGAGAAAGAAAATTATCTTTCTTTGAGAGAGAAGAAAAGGAGAGAAAAAGTTATCCTTCTCTTAAAAACATTAAGAAGACAGAGAAAAATATCTTTCTTTGAGAGAGAAGGAGAAATAAAGCTACCCGTCTTCTTAGAGAGAAGAAGAAGATAAAAGAGACCCAATGACCATCTTCTTTAGCCTTTTGTTTGTAGAGAGAGAGAAGAAAAAAGAAATAAAGAATGAAATAAGATTTCTTTTAGAGAGAAAGAAAACCTCTAGAAAGAAATGAAATCTCATAGAAAAAAACCTAGAGAGAGAAGTCTCTAGAAGAAATCAGTGATACCAAGAAAATTGGTTTATTGGAAGACTATTGTAACCATTGAATTAATAGTAAATGTAACTTGAAAAGGTGAACCATGTCAATAAGTTTTATTTCTTATTTATTTTAATTTACATATTTTTCCACTCATATATAAACATCGGGTGTGGCATATATTTATGTGTCATAAATTTATGTTCCGCTGCGTGCATCCGCATTCGTGCAAGATGGACAAATTTGTACCGTGACATTTAGTTGGATATGATTTGGGATTGGGTTGGTTTTACGTCCACATTCTGTGGACTCTTAAAAGAAATGGTTTAAGATTGAACCCCCTTCATTCAAGGGTAAAAATGAATTTGATTTTTATTTTAAAATATTTTTAAAAATGATATTAATTTGAAAATTTAAACTTTAGCTTCATTTTTATAAGTGGAATTGAATAAAATAATAAAAATTTTAAATAAGTAATATTAATCTAAATAAGTTTAGGGTTATTTTGGTCTTTTTTCTATTTAAATTGTTTTTTCATTGCTTTTATTTAGTTATCTTTTATACAAATAACCTGTACCCCAAAATTCAAAATGAACAGCATATTCAAATAAAAAATAAAAACTAAAATATGAATATTTTTTTGCCTTTGTGAATTCTCAATGGTTGGAAGGTGCTTGCTCACCCTTTCACGTGCCGGTAATGTGGATGGGATACTTTTCCTTTCATAGTACCAGTTCTTTTAATTAAATAATGCCTCAAAAGAAGTATTAATAGAGAGGCTACGAGGTCACGCATGCCAGTATTTATATAATATTTAAGGATTATACACAATGAGACTATTTACCTATGTTACAAGGAGGTCACAATTACTTATAACCATCCGATGTGAAATCTGAAAGATTGGGTGTGTTATAGAATTCGAAAAAAAGTCTTTTAAACTTTCAGCTTGGTCAATAAAATAAATGCAATCAACCAATTTCACATCTAGTGGACAAGATTAATTATGACCACCAAAGATAAATAGTTTCATTATATACTTTCCCTAATATGTATGTGTGAGCTCCTGTGACGACCCAAACTTTTCCCGGCCAGTTAGAAGGCATGGCGGGATAGGGAGGCTGAAGAACAGGGTAGCGTCGGGTAGATTTGTGTGAAGAGGCCAGTGTCGGTTGGAAGAGCCAGCGTTGGGTGGATTTGAGTGAATAGGCCAACACCGGTTGAAAACGCCAGCGCCGGGTGAGTTTGAGAAGAGCCAGAGCCTGGTGAAGAGGTCAGCGTTGGGTGGATTTGTGTGCAATGTCGGCTGTGTCTCTGACTTGCATGAGTTGTGTATGCCACTTGTTATATGTATGTTGATATTACATGTCCAAATTTTACAGTCTTTTGGTGACACTTGGCTAGCCACCTCAACCCAAGAGTACTTAAGCACCCTTCCTCACCCGTGCCGCTCATTCTTACTTCAGTTCTCTCTCTAAGACACAAGGTGGGAAGAAGTGACTGTTGGTGGGCAGCCATAGTTGGGTGAGTGAGAGCTGTGAGGAGAGGAGTGGAGAAGATACCATTGTTATTTAGGTAGGTGGAGCCATCACCATTGCATGATAGTTGTAAGGATGCATGGAATTTATGCATGTAAAATGAGAATGAAAGTAAATGTGATGTAATGGTGAATGTCAAGAATGAATGTATATTTCTTAAATTATGTAAGAAATGCATGCTATGCCTGATTATGTGTGTGTTCACATTGTGAGAGAATGACTGTTATCATGTGCTTCACTATGAAATGAAGATCATGGAATGTATGCTTGAGACATGCTGTATGCCACTGTGAAATTCCAGAAGTTTGCATGTTCTTATAGGAGGATTTTGAACAGCCAAATAGGGTTCGATTGACCTCAAACCACCCTCATTGGAAAGATATATGAGTTTAGTAAAATGTTTGTTTTTACCCATTTCTGAAATTATTTACAAAAATGAAGTTATGTTTCAAAATGGGAAGGTATATCATTATTGACTGTTTTCCTGGATTTTTCATTTATACCACTGTGGTCACTGATTTTAGCTAGCCAAAGGAAGTTCATTTTCGGCTAAACCATAGCCACTTGAAGGATCTTTGAATGGGATAAAATTTGCATGAGGAAACTATTTTGAAAAGCTTCCTAGATTGAAAGTTATACATTGCTTTATGAAGGTATGTCACTGTGGGCAGTATTGATGAAAATCATAACTATCACCTTGTTTGCCACGAATTTTTGAACCACAAAATGGAATTCAAATGCTTTTAAATTAGATTTGTTAGAAATATATACATCTTGGCTTAAATTTTTATTTTGTACCCGTCACAAGTTGCTTTACGGTTCGAATGTTATAATGATCTGAAGCAGGGTACGTTGCTGTCCACTGTACACAGCAGGGGGCAGTTAGTTAACCCTCATTTCCTTGAACTTTTAAGAGGTCAAACGGAATCCTGTTGCCTTTAAACCACTCCCAAGTGAGGGATAGTATGTTTGGTACGAAATTGATTTTAGAACCATCTTCAAACTCTAAATGGTCCAAAAGTTATTACCCAATTGTGAGCGCACATACACATGCATAATAATGAAGTTATGCTTTGCTATGACATGGAAGCATGATTATGATGAATGCCCTGTGTAAATGATGATATCATGATGTTTATGCTATATGTGAATGAATGCCTATTGTGTGAATGATGGTATCATGATGTTTATGCTATATGTGAATGGATACCTACTGTGTAAATGAATGATTTTATTCTAGTTTTCTTTCATGGTTTGTTCCTGATTCTGTGTTTTTATACGTTGAACCGCTCCTACCTGCGTGACGTTCATAATCTCCGGTCGGGATCCCGCACTCTGTTGCCCTCCGACAGGGTTCAGGGGGCGGGATCATGACAGCTCCCTTTGGAGCAGCACCTCAAAAAAAATACATATTCGCAACATTGTTAGGTTACGTTAGTTAAACGGAGAAAATCTTTGTGGTCTTATACAATTATAAATTTACAGTTAGTATGCACTTGTTTTTAAAAAAAAACAAAAATTATTTCTTTCTTTAAAATCAGTGAGAAAATTTTCTTATTGGTAAGAAAATTTTCTTATTGGTAAAACTTTTGCTGTGATTGTTTTACCTAAGGTTCTAAATAAATAGTACATATTACGTGTTCCACTAGAACATTTATGTTTTGCACGTTAAAGGAGCCCCACCCCTCAATTGTTAACGGGAAAGCATATCATGAGACCATTAACCTTTGGTACAATGTGGTAACAATTAATCTTGACCATTGGATGTGAAATTGGGTGGCTACATTTATTTCATTGACCAAGCTCGAAGTTCAAACGAAATTTTTTCGAACTTTGTGATATATTAAAGCTATCAGATTTCACATCGGATGGTTGTTAGTAATTGAGACCTCCCTGTACTAAAGGCATATGGTCTCATTGTATACAATCCCATTGTTAAAAGGGTGAGGTTTGTATAAGGTTTCAACCTTGTACTATTGAAGTAACGTGCACCTCAAAACAATGACAAAAATGTAGCTTCAGTGCTACAAAACCTTGTAGTGATATGAAAATCTATAAACACTTGAAAACCTTAAAAATAGACAGTCCAGATAATGTGTTAGAAATTGAACTATTTTTAGGACTAGAAATACTATTTTTTTTAAGTGTTTATGAGTCTCGA